TAGAAAGCCTGGTGGTTTCAAACCGCTGGCCTTGCAGTCAGCAGCCCAACACTGGATTCCTGAGCCTGGGCCCCTACCTAACCCAGAGCACCCCTCCATCCAGTCCCTGCTCCCTGATCCCCTGCCACTGAGCGCCAAGTGCCAAAGGCAGCTCCAGGCAGCACAGGCACAGCTGCAGGACGGCACCGGCGAGCTCCAGGCTGCACTGCTGCACAGCCAGGCACGGCTCGCCGAGCTGGAGACCCAGGTGAAGAACAATGCCTTGAGCACGGGTAGGGGGTTGTCCCTGTAGGGCCAGCACTGACTGAGTGCCCCCCACCCTTAGGTGCGGAAGCTGGAGCTGGAGCGGAGCCAGCACGAGCTGCTGCTGGAGAGTATGCAGAAGCGCCACCAGGCCGACCTGGAGCTCATCGAGGGCGCGCACAGGTACCCACCGCCCTCCAGCCTGGCCCCGAGCCCCCGCTCCCACACACCCCCTCTCCCAGAGGCCTCACAGCCGGCTGCCCTGTTGGCAGGAGCCGCGTCCAGGTGTTGGAAACCTCCTACCAGCAGCGGGAGGAGCGGCTACGGAGGGAGAACGAGGAGCTGTCGGTTCAGTACCTGGCTCACTGCCGGGAAGCCGAGCTGGCCCGCACCGAGCTGACCGCCCAACACCAGCGGCGCCTGGCCGCTGCCACGCAGGAGAAGGACCAGGAGATGGAGCTGCTGCGTGATCTGCAGCGGTGAGGGCCCGGGGCTGGACCGCTGCAGCCACCGGGACCACTGCCCACCCCCAGCCCCCAACCCCACTCTCCTCTCCTCGCCCTCAGGGCGTCCATTGTGGAGATGCACAAGGACCACGAGGAGCAGCTGCAGCGGCTAAAGCTGCTGAAGGACCGCGAGATCGATGCTGTCACCAGCGCCACCTCCCACACCAGGTAGGAGCCTGGCCAGGCCCCGCCCACAGAGGGACAGGTGCCGGGGCCCCTAGAACAGGGTGGCCTGCTGCTCCCCAGGTCGCTGAACGGCGTCATCGAGCAGATGGAGAAGTTCTCCAGCAGCCTGCAAGAGCTGTCCTCACGCGTGGAGGCCTCGCACCTCACCACCTCCCAGGAGCGGGAACTGGGGGCCCGGCAGCAGGAAGCACAGCTCCGAGGTGC